CTCAAGCCCTGGGGGTTCATGTGCTTTCCCGAGGCTGCTGAATGTACCCTATACATCTGGATGTTCCAGACCTGCCATAAAGCATGTACTAATTTGCAGTGAGTTCAGTGAGTGCATATCCAAGTAACCATGAATAAATGACTTCACAAGGGGGAGTCTAGATCTACCTCACCTGTTTTCAGAGTCGATCATTATGCCATTTCCGTACTGCAGAAACACACAGTATATAGAAAAATCAAATGAGTGCATTCAAGAGCCTATGGTATAATGGCACAGATTATTATAGTACAAGGCAGAAAACAAGGGCTAGGGCAATAGCATATGGATGTTAGCACTGTACAGGATTTTCAAAACATTACTTCTTATGAGCGGCTGTTTCCCTATTACTGAGAGGCTATTCCAATGATATGAAGCAAAAGGTACAAAACTGGAAGCAAGGAGAGAGAAAAGAGCAGTCGGGATAGAAAACTGAAGGGAGGACTAGAGCTTGGTGAAGACTACAGTCCCCCAGAAAAGGACAAATACATTTTTGGCAGAACCCAAACAGAAATTTTTCAGTGTCATAATAAAACTAACCAAAATTTGTTTGGGGTCAACCCAAAATATGTTGTTTAATTTGGAAGTTATTTAAAACTTCTGTTTAACCTGTTTTTCTTTTAACATAGGTCAATTTCAAAACTAAAAATTTGGAAGTACTCAGGGCACATCTATACATGTTGCAATGGCAATTCTGTAACTGCGCTGTGATTTAGGAAGTACTAAATCACGGCGCAGTAACAGCCCATACTGTGCTGTACACGCGGTGCACGGTTACTTTAGCAGCTACTTTGCCGTAGCAGCACACTGTACAGGAGAAGTGCATCACTATGGCAAAGTCACTGCCGGTCACGTGTAGAAGCCCGGGGACGCTTCGTCGTAGTACTGTGTTGCGGCTACGGCAATGTAACATCACGTGTAGACATCCCCTTAGAATAACTATTGATATTAATCACTTGATGTCAGATTTGTTTTCAGGGATTTCCCCTTGAAGAAAATAGTATGAGTTAGCAGACTTTAAGAGGTTTCAAAGCAGCTGTCTACAGCCAAACTAATATAAAAGAATAAATAATCTGCATAGGAGAAAGAAATACTTGTAGAATCACATTCCAACACCAGATGCTCTCCAACTCTGACTGCAATCCGTTGAAGGAATATTTTATGGTATACATTATAAATATATATTTAAGTTTTATGTGAGATCTGTCTACAAATCACTTCAGCAGCTGCAAGAATGTAATCTGTACAAAATAAAGTAACTCATTTTCTCATTCCACAGAGACCGCCAACCCAGTCAGAAGGCTCTGAATGCATGCTGACTAATACTGCGTTTCTTCCTTCACTCCTCATTTCCATGTAGCTTTGTTGACTTTTTTCCCCCATTATTATCCTTAGGGTGAAACGCTTTATTGCTTTCTCCTACTGGTTATTTTACGTATTTATTTCCTGGAATATTTCTTTGTACAAGCAAGGGCTTTTTCATTTCCTTTGGCTACCAGAAGGCACAAGGGAAAGGGAAGATTCAGATGACACTCTTTTCCCAAATTGCACCCCCCACACCAAGCACCTGTGCAAAAAGATGAGCCCTGTCAATGGACTCGATGGAGTGGCAAATGAACAGCATCTTTTTCATTATGTAAGAGCTTCTCATGTGAATATTAAGTGAGCAAAGGGGGTGAGGGGGAAGCAAAGGAAAACCATTAGAAATAAGTCTGTAAGGAAAATTCTTAAAGGTCAGTTCAGATGAGGAGGAAGAGGCCAAGGCTGGCTTTCAGTTTATTAATAATCAATTGCTAAATACATTTAGAGGAGAATGCTGATAGGTAAAAGGCTAGACCATTATGTGACACTATGAAACCCGAACACACCAGCCAAAATGAATGGCCTCACTGCTGTGTATATGCACTGCTATTGTCAACTGGTTGGATGCAGGACTGCCCAACTGTGTCACATGTCTATAATGACCTCCCTTTTGCTCAGGAAGAATGGGGCCCTGTGTTTATGGCACAAGAGGATCTGGGTTCTCTACTCAGTTCTGTCCTTGAAGAGAGCTCGCAGGGACAACCATGAAGCCCTGGGGAGTCACAGAATTAAGGCCCAGAATTAGGGAGGCGCATTGTTGGGGCTCAGTTCCTGTAGGTACAAATCCCTGTATTTGCATAGGGATACTGCCCTCGGCAAGGACCACAGGTGCAGAAGCCAGTGTAAGACGTACAGGGTCCTACCAGAAGCATGCTTCTGTGTGGGACTCAGGAGACTCATGTCCCATAGAAATTAATTAGAGTGTGAGGTGCTTCAGCATCTCATAGAATTAGGCCCTTAATTATTAGATGGCAGCTTGACAGCAAGGAGAAGCCAATTGATTGGGACCATAGAAAAGGACAGAAGGTGTGAATCAATCTCATGAAAATGTAAATTCTCCACAATATTAGTAAAGACCAAGATGTCAATAAAGCAATCGCTAGGATAAAATACAACTTCTTTGCACCTGAGCTCCAACTGCAAACCCTTTGCCCCAAGCAGGGGCCACAGCAACCATTACCATCTTGGAAACTCAGGCACGGGCCAGTTTGTGGGAGGACCCTCCTTCCTTGGCTATTGCATGCTTAAGAAGAGCTCAGGAAGAACACACGGAATGTTGTGAAGGAAGTAGAGAGCTCAGCGCTCCTGCAGGAAGCCCGTTGTGACCAGACAGATTGGCAGCACATCTTCCCAAAGTATCCTGCATCCAAAGTGAATGGTCTCCATCCCCAAGCCATGTACTTCTTGACCTGAGGCACATACGTAAAGCCCAGATACCCAGTGGTCAAACCATTATAAATCCTCCCCTATCTCTGCCCTATGGAGCCTTTTCCCTTAACACAGACCTCTGTTCGCCCCTAAGAGAATTCAATTTTAAGAAACCATATAACTGTGATGCTGTGCAGTCAATGTACCTAGTACAAGAGAGGTTGCCCAGTGCCCAGGCAGGTGCCCTACACTGGCATTAGGTGCTTTCCCATTGGAATCTCTCTCTGCTCCTTTTTCATGGTCTTAACAGTGCATGAATCTGCTAACATGCAGGTCACAGCTGGTCCTTTGAACCACTGGCAGTTGAGTGGATTATGAATTGGACAAAATATGTCCAGCTCAAGCTGGATTTAGATGAGCACCCAGCTCATCTCTGCTGATCCCAAGTTTCCAAAGAGCAAGTGCCAGATGGTACTCTCTAACAAAAGAGGCTCTGGTTGCCTCCTGCTCTGAAGCTGCCTTCTCTACCCATCTAAATTACACAGGCCAGCATTTTGCCAGTATTATCCAGCCTGTTCATACCTTGAATGACATCACAAGAAAACTGGAGGTCATCTCTGCTCAGCCCCATTTCTAGCAGTTTCCTAAGGCTGCCTGTATCAGTGTTGGCTTGGGAGGGCTGTAGTCTGCGAGTTGCTTCTCTATCTAAAAGACACAGTCTTCTTTCTAAGCTTGACCTAAGTCCAAAATACCCTCCTGCCTTCTTCAGTGCCTACACAACAGACCTGCTGGCTCCATTGTGCTCCCTAATCAAATCCCAGAGCGCATTGGATTATCATCACTTCTACAGGGCTTATCTGCAGCATTCACAATGCTGGTCTGAAGTGTGGCACAGAAGCATGAGTGCAGAGGAAAACCCAATGACTAGCAAAAAAGTTTTCCCTAGTGGTTAGACTATGGGGCATCCAGTCAAGGATACTGGGTTTTATTCCTGGCCCTGCTAATATTTTGCTGTGTGAATCAGGCAAGTCACTTAGTTTCTGTGTCTTACATCCCAAGATACTAAATGTGGATGGCAATATTTACTGGCCTTTAAAGTACTTTGTAATGGTCAGATGCTACTGCATTGCAAACTGTTATACCACTGATATTATCCAGGGTGAGGTCTGAGGCTGAGTTTTGCAAAATGCCTAGAACAGCTACACACCTAAACTACAATTCCAGGCCCCCCTTGGAAAGCCTCAGCTTGATTCTGGCACCCTTTTAGTCTGTGTGGTGAGAGCAATCGGTCAGTCTCCCACAGGAATCCTAAATCTGGACTGACTGCAAAGCATGTAGGCTAGAGCAGGGACGAGAGGCAAGTCTCCATGACAAGTCCCTGGGAGCAATTCAACCCTTCCTCAGCAGATTAGTTCAAACATGGTACATGAAAAGACAGCAAGGTGCACACAGACCTGCAGTCAGATGGCTTAGAACGGAACAAGAGAGAGCAGAGCAGACTGACATAGTGCAGCTGTGTGGGCGTGACCAAGGCAAGGCTTAGGGCTGTAGGCATGAAAGGAAAAGGCTTGTAGGGTGGAATATGTCTGTCTGCCGCTGGAGAAGGGTCTTGCAGTGGCCACCCCACCCCGTGGGCAAGAGGAGATAGAATTTGAAGGGGTTGAGGCTGCAGGCCCCTGTGGTTCTTCCTGGCTCTTGTGCTATTTGATGCTTCACTATTCAAAAAAAAGAAGGGGAAGTTTGAAAACTGGAGGATCCAGACCCAGAGACGCTGAGCTGGGTAAAGTCATGAATACAAATGTGCAGGAGGGGCTGAAGGTGCCTCATGGACAGTTCTGGAAAGTGGAGACCACCAAAAAGGACAGCAGCACTACAGCATTCCCATGTTCACTGTCTATACCCCACCAACATGGCTTGACCCTGATATGGAGGGGCAATCTCTAGGAGCAGGACAGTAGCTCAGTCTCCATGGGGCAGTCACATCCTTGGCTGTTTCTCAGAGGCTCGCAATTAGGGGACTGGGTGTTGCCTGCTTCGGTGTGGGAGTGGAGTAATACCACTTCACAAAGCCCACTTAGGGAACTTCAGAAGGTGACCCCATGTCACGCTTCACTGAGGCTGAATTTACACTGCTGGCTTCACCATGAAAGCCCCCATTTCCAGTTTTTAGAGTCATCTAGTCTCTCAGAATCCATTCACTTTCATATAGGCTTGACCATTTTTCTGGTACTCACCATTACAATGTTAGCCAGATGGGCAGAAATGAGCGCATAAACCCCTCCAGAGGAACCCACCACCGGTGCAGTCATGTCAGCTACTGATACCGCCAGGGAACCTTGGAAGAAGCAAAGGGTTTATTGCAAACTCTTCCTGAATACAAATCCTCTTCACTGCCCTAGCCTGCTCTGTATTAACTGCTGCAGCTCAGCAACATTGGGGGGAAAGTAAATTGAATAAAGAAGCTAAATTAGCCTTGCAGCACTGCCAGCAAAGTGACTGATCAATTCTTTTATGTCTGCTTTAAAACTGCAATCAAATATATTTGAACCCCCAGGAAAAAAAATAAAATAAAAGCCCAACTAATATAACATCAGGCAGCAATGCATCAAAACGTGAACAGCAAAAGGAATTCACACCTGGGATGGGAGCAGCAAGCAAGCTTCAGATAAATGTACCCCCAGAGGCAAAAAAAAAAGTGAAAATGATTTTAATCCTGGCAAGACAAGCATTTGTACAACTAGGAGGAACTGGGGACATGTGGCTTATCAGTGGGTTCTGATTTAATCAAAGCCGAGCCCATTACTTGGGACAACAAGGGAGCAATGCAAGCCACAAATAACCTGGGGGCAGCACAGCAGGGTGCATGAAAGAGATTAAACCCAGAAGACAACAGGAAGGATTAGTTGCACACACAAATGCTTCTGGGACCCAGTAAGATTTCAGCTAAGTTCAGACATTCAAAAAGGCTGAGCCTGAATTGATTCCATCTTTGCAGGTTAGTCTAACTTGTGTTGATTGAACCAATTTGCAAGTGAACAGACATTCACTTTTGATTCCGGAAATGCAGGCACATGCCTGCAGTGGCTCAGGCTAGAAGCTGGGTGGTGCTAGAGTGAGCCCTGGGCTGCAGGGAAGCTGTGCTGAGGTGGGGCATGGCAAGGCCCTGCCAGGCTGAGCATGATTGGGAAGGGGTTTAAACCCCCACCCTGGCCTGCAGGGACCCCAGCTGGGGTCTGCCTGGAGGGGGAAGCAGCCCCTGCCAGGCATGTCCCACTTCTGCCCTCATCACTCAAGCAGTGGGGGGCATGGCCAACCCCAGGAGCAGTGTGAAGTGAATGGAGACAGAGGTGGGTTTCATTCCCCCCTCCCTCCTCTGTCCCACTGGCATGGACACAAGCCAGGGTCTGCCTGGCCGGGGTGGAGCACCCTGCGTCAGGGTCTCCCATACCCACCACTGCTGCAGCAACAGGGGCAGGGGCATGGCCAGATGCTGGCCACCATGGCCCCCTGATTCAATGGGGCAGGGAGGGGGTTTATTCCTCCCCCAGGTGGGAATGCCTGACAGGGCTGCTCTGCCCTGGCCAGATAGACCCTGGCTGGGGCCCCAATGGGTGCGGGGAGGGAGGAGGGAATAAACCCCCTCCCTGCCATCTTTGCCTTAGGGGGCCATGCTGGCCGGTGTCTGGACACATCCCTGCCCCTGCTGCTGGAGCAGCAAGGGGGCAGCAACCCTGACATGGGCTGCTGTGCTCAGGTCCATGCCAATGGGACAGGGGAGGGAGGGGGGAATAAACCCCTTCCCTGCCCCCTTTGCTTTTGGTCCAGAATCTGGCCATGCCCCCACCCCTGCTCCAGCTAGAGAGCAGACGAGTGGGGCAGCCCTGCTCTGCTGGGGCAGACAGCACAACCCAGGCAAGCCCAGCGATACAGACCATATTGGGATGCTGGAGGACTCTGATTTAACTTAAATCAGGAACGGTCTGGGACAGATGTTCCATAAACCAGTCTGACCTCAATTAAGTCTGATTCTACATTCAACCAGGTTTATCTCAAACTGTTTTCAGCCATTTTGAAACTGGTTTACATGCACTGAACTTCTATTCTGTTCCACGTTTAAACCAGTTTCTGATCACTTAAACTTGTGTTTATCTTTCCCTAGCCTTTGTGATTAGGGCACAGTTTGGAAGTCAAAAGAGTTCTATTCACAGCTTTCCTGCTAAGTCATTGTGAGCATCTCTCCTCCCTGCCTTGCAAATGATGCATGCTTACCTTGTAAAAATGGCTAGAGGGCCACAGAAAAAAAAGCAATAAGTATGATTAAGGCAAGCGTGACTCAAGGTACAGGCAGGCGTAACAACTTGCATCCATAGCAAATGCTACCACATTAAGCCGTTATGATGCAGGATCCTATAAGAATACGTGAACAGAGAAACCACTGCAACATCATCCCTGCTGTATTACGGGGATTTACTTCACTTGTATCACTGCAGAAGCATGTAGCTGTACCAGTTGCATCTTAACAGGTGATGCATGGAATGGAAATCCCCTCCCAACACTTTTATATAACACCCATGGGTACCAGGCCTATGCTGGCCTTGTCTAGCAATGATGGGACATGCTGGAGAACAGCAAGGGCTGGCTGCCAGTTGCTTAAACTATCTTCTCCTAATAGCTTTCTTCTCTCATTAATGGTGTTGTGGCCTGCTGTTTCCCTGGTGGCCCCACTTGGGCAGGTTATTCAGCTATGCTCTAGTTTCAGTAAGCACGTACCAAAACATGAACTTGCTGGAGCTCTTACTGAACTTCAGAGCCAATGCAGTTTGATTTTTCCATTAAGGTCTGTGACAAAACCCTCTGAAAAATCAAGATTGTTCTTTGCTTGGTAAGTAAGGAGATGTTTGTGTCAGATAGCGACACTTCTACACCTGATGGGAAGCTGACACCTGTGAGGGGGGATCCTTGCTAAGGCTGGGACACAACCTTTTGCTGCTATGACCCAACTAGTCCTTAGCATCTTGATAAGGGGGAATAACTACAACTTCCCCTGCACTGAGAAGGAAATGAAGACAAAGGGCATTTCTGCCAAATGAAGGTACAACTGCAGCATGTACCAGCAGAGCTGAGCTATCTTCACCTTGCTAGCATGGGCCATGGTGGCCTGGGCTTCAGCATGTGCCAGGATCCAGAGTTCATACTTGGGCCACCTGGAGAACTGTGCTGTGGCCCCTAAAGCCCACGCTGTGGCAACTCCATCACTTCTGGTATCTTTGCTAACAAGATTAACCTTATCTAGGTATGCTAGCTTGTAGTCATCCAATCATCGAGACAAATAGGGCTGAAAGTGACCTTAGTAGGTTAACTAGTCTAACAGTGCTTAAGGCAGACCTGCCTTAGCTGAGTTAAGGCCAAACCCTAGTCAGTTCTGAGGCTCCTTAAATGTTCAGGTGATGCTCAACATTGTGGAGTCAGGACCCATCTGACAAGGCAGGTCTTGGGGCTGGAGTTGAGGACTCCTGTGCTCAGCCTCCCAGTTAGAGTCTGGCTGGGTCAAGTTACAAAGCTCCTTTCATGCTGAATTTTGGACAGTAATTGCAGAGATGAAGAGAGAGAACTGGCAAGAGCCTGCAACATGGAGCGGAGCTAATAGAGATGACCATGTCTAGAGGACAGGGGAAAACCACGAAACAGCAGAAAGCAGAAGAGTCCTGAGCAGGACAAAAGCTTCTAATCAACTTCTATAGCTTTTCTACTTACTCAGCTAATACAAGGCTTCGCTGAAGGCCAGTCAAATGTCAGTGCTACATTGTGCTAGGAGCTGTACAGGCAGGGTATTTTCCAAAGTTCATATGTGACGGGCAAATGGGGGCCTCCCTTCCACTGACTGCCCGTGAGATTTGGGCACCTAGGGTGCCTGTACACAAGCCCGGAGGCTGCTCTAACATGCTGTAATCCATTGAGTCTGCTGGAGCATGGTAATTACCATGCTCCAGCCAGTCTCTGCATCTTGCGTATGTGTGTCCCCACACTTCAGAATGGCAGTGGGGGTGCTTGAACTAAAGCTTGTTCAACGAGTTTTAGATAAAGTGCCCCCGCCGCCATTTTAAATCATGGGGACACTGATACCCAAGATGGTCCGGGCACTGTAAGTAGAGCGGCTCTTGGAGTTGCTCTAAAGCACCCCACTTCCTCCACCCAGTCTGCAGAGCATGTGTAAAAACAACCCTAGGTGCCTAGTTTGAAGACGGCTACCCACAGACCCAGCTCCCACCTAATGTATCAGGCAAGAGGTACTCCTAGCAGGCCAGAGGAGTAGGCATGGGTCTGCGGTATGCAAGCACAATAAAATAAATAGCTTATCCAGAAACTCAGCAGCCATCGTTGTGCTGCCCCGAGCTAGACCAGGCAATGGGTCATGATTCAGTCTGAATTAATTTCCCAGTCACCCCTTCCCCCATAACAATGATTTTGAGCCTGCATTGCTGCTGCATGTCCCTAAGCACACTGATTGGCCTCCGATCACAACCCAGTCCATAAGCTATTTGGAGGTGACATCTCTGCTCTGCTGGCTCAGCTAAACTGTCCAGTACACAAGAGGTGGGAAGGGTAGAGTCCAGGCTGAGCTTAGTTCCTTCCTCCTAGGTGGGAAGAGGAGTAGCTGTCTCACAGAGATGGCTCTCCCCATGCATGGCAGTGCAAGTTGTGATCACTGCCCGGGGTGGGCTATGAAAAACAGGATCTTTATGTCCCTTTACTCCCCTGTCAGGTGTACAAGGCAAGTGATGATTTTGTCCTGGAATTTTATCCATCTAGGTTTCTGTCCCATATTCTTCATTTTGGGAGATTCACATCACCTCTACTTCTACCATAGTCACGTGCCTGCACATCTGTACTGGTACAGAAGCAGACGAGTGCACAGGGTCCTGGGAGTTTTCGGTTGAACTTGTCCTACCTCTTTGTTATGTTTTAACTGCAAATCTTAGCATATCTTTGGTCATGTTTTAACTGCAAATCTTAGCATACCCTCAATGAAGGAGCTGATGCCTCTGCAGTTTTGGCAGCCTAAAGAACACCCCTCCGGGGGAAAGGGTCACTACCTTCTCAGGCTCTTACGCAGCTCAGCTCGTCCACTGCAGCTCTAAGGGAGAAGTTAATGAGGAGCCATTGAAAAGAATGGGATTTACCATGTTAAATCCCTGGGAGCTGCACTGGAAAAGTCCCCTTTAATCTCACTCTCTCTGTGGATGTGAAGGTCCTAATAGCAGAGTCAAGCAAAGTGCAGAGAGGAGGATTAGAAATAATGAGCTCTCCCTTCTGATGAAAGCCAAGAAAGGGGCATGTGTGAATGCATGTGTATCTTATGTATGGCCCCCATGTGTTTACAAGCCCTGAGCTATCTTGCATTAATGCTCCCTACTTTGCTTACTCTCCAAGAGCACTTCAAAGCATAGGGAACTTGCTTTAAATCAAATGCTGTCAACTAAATGGCCAACCAAATCTAGTACTAAAGGGATTTGGGGTACAGCTCTCCTTCCCATGTGCTTTTGAGGTAACTTTTTCCAAGTCCTGTAATAAAAGGGATCCTTTCCCTTCACTTTCAGCACTGCCTTTCACGGCCCCATGGCACAGCCAAGGAATGGAAAGCTTGCCTTGGAGGGGGCAGCATGCATGTGTGAAGGGAAATCAGAGAACAAATTAAGTGCAAATAAACACAAATAAGATCCAGTGGGAGCTGGGGTGAACTGAGAAGATGTGCCCTCTCCCTAAGAGGTGTGTGCATTCAAGGTGGATGGGAGGAGGTTAAAAAGGCCCAGCTGCCTACAACCTGCAGGTCCTCAAGCATTTGTGGAGGCTCTGAGCTGCTAGAGAGGAGGGGGAAGGCTGCAGAAGTACTCTCCTTTCTGCTCCTGTTAATGGAAGCAGTTCTGAGAGCAATAATGTTCCACCTGTAACTCAGTGAGTGAGAAGTGTGCCAGCAACTCGACTGGGGTCTGAGCCAGGGCCCCCACACAAGCACCTGGGCTGCACAATGTGGGCTGGTCTCCCCACTCAAGTTGCTTTACTCTTTACGTTTGAAAGGATTTAAGTGCAGTGGTTCTCAACCTGCGGCCTGCGTGACATCCTGTTAAAACGTTTTTTAAATGAATACACAGGAAGTAAGTTGTGTGGGTGCGGCCCACAACACATGGAATGCTGCAACTCTGGCCCACTATGGCAAAAAAGTTGAAAACCAGTCTTTTAGGGTGTTCAAAGCCTTTGCCTTTCTGTGGGTAGCAGCTGGTCAGACTCAGCCCAGGACTCAGCAACAGAAGCAGCAAGAAAACAACTTGTACACTGGAAACAACTGGGTTTGCTCTGGTGTTTAGTGGAATCCCTGGCAAGATTGCACTGCCTGCAATGGCCACTGGACTGCATCTCACAAAGTATGCTTGTGGTTTTTCCCTCTGCACTTGAATGCACACTTATTTGCACCATGCTTATTCCTAGCTTTCTAATCCAGTTATTACGTTTTCTGCCTCCCTCCTCCCAGGACCTTCACCCACTGAAGAGCAACATTTGATTTATTACCACTCAGTGCAGCACATTTCACAGCAGCTTTATCTGTTCATTATGGAAAAAATTAAATTATGTTACTGAAAAAAAATCACCATAAATCGTGAACTAAACCAGTCAATCTTTGTCCCTGTGCTGCTGTGAATCTCAGATGTTCTTGTGGACTCCTGTTTTAATTAGATGTTGATCTATTGTCAGCTAACTTCTTTTGCCTCCAAACTGCTGCAAATGCCAGGCATAAATAAAAGCAATGCAGCACAACTAAAAATCAATCTGTCCACAAGGATATGCACTTGAATCGATTCCCAGGTTATTGGCATGTTACTGCTTGGGCTTCAACCAGAATCTTTCTGCAGCAGTAAAGAAAGACCCTAGGAAGTGCTGATAACTTTAAGGCTCAGCTGAGGTGTTTCATCAAAGAAAGGAGACCTGGACCAAGGCTACGATGTGTCTGTGCCCCAAGCAGAGCCAGGACAAGCTTGGGACTTTTGGGGGCTTTGAGCAAATGATTTTCCTTGGTTTCCATGGTCCATGGAGTTCAAGCCCCATGAGTTTCTCCTGAGGCTTAGCAATTCTTTCAAGGCACCAGGGCCACATAAGTTGCAGGATTTGACCCAATTAAAAAAAAAGGAATAAAAACAAATGGAAAGCTTTGCAGTTCCTTGACAGAGTTGCCTGGTTTCTCCTCTCATTTGGAAATGCACATGCCTCTAAGGTAAATGAAGAACTAGCAGAAAGCTACCATCGCTGCTGAAAGAACTGCTGCAACAGAAACAGGGAGGCACTTTCCTACATGCTGCCCACATTAGCACTTTCCCAGAACTGCGTAATATCATTTCCCAAAATATGGCATCCTGAAGATGCTATTTCCAAAAAAGGACTTTATCGTACCAGCAAATTGATGTCTCCAATGCTGTAATCTAACTGCTAGGATTACAATAGGAAGGTTAAATGGCCAGTATCATCCCAAGCATGGTCTTTGGCATGGGGAGTAAAGAACCTTTTGTCCTGCTCTGGAAAGATCAATAATGGGCATCTTTCCTCCTGTTTCAGAAAGCCCCAAAGCTTTGATGAGGTTGAGGGTGATAATCCAAGGCTGATATCACTTACCTGCCACAACTCCAGCAAGATAGACAAAGCCAATCCTCAGTGCGCCATGCACCATCTCGAGAGGAACCCCAACCAGAAGCTGAAGCACAACGTTGAGTCCAAGGTGTTCTATCCTGGGGCAAAGAAAAATAACAGTTGCATTCTTTTCTGTCTCCCCACTTGCCGACCCATGATGTGAAGATGTCTTGGAACTAAAAGAGCCACAATTTCTTTTGCTAAAGCTTAGGGAGTTCTCATCCTATTCTTCTATTCTTCAGACATTAACCTGCAGTGATTTGAATCAAACCATTTCAGGGAGTGCATTTCAACACAGTTATTTTAGTTACTTTAGTCTCTTTTTGATGCCAAATTATGCACTGCAAGGATCAAACTTCTGTAGCCCTAGACCAGCTGACAGAAAGACGGTGAATAAAATATCCTGCCTGAACATGTTTTATTGTACCAAACAGATGCTGCAAAATGATTTCACCTTTAAGCAAAGTCCTGTTTAGTGTAGTCCTCATTATTGCCAACACATAATTGAAGCTATTGATGCATGTATAACATCAGAAATAGCTGCTGCGTGGAAGTAAATAGAAAGCTAGGAAAAAATCTTGTTACGGGAATCATGGGATTCAGAGTCAACATGCTTGGAGAAAGTTACCTCCATTATGTCTACTAATTACCTTTTGTGCATCTTACGTCCTTTCAGCCAAAGGCCTCAAAGTGCTCTACAAATATTCATGGGTATTACATCTTTTTAGAGTTGTAAGAAAAATTTGCAAAGAATTAAGTGCTTAGGCCCATGCAGTAAAACAGTCACAGAGCCAGGAATCACGATCTGCTGCTTTCAGTGCTTGATAATAACCCCCTGCTCTGTATATTCGGTTAACAGGGGGTTTCTAAGCAACTGGAGGATGGATGCAGCTGTCCCCCTTTTGTCTGACTGGTACGCAACACATTATATAACCTTCAGGCCATCCCACTACAGCTCTCATTTGGTGGCCCATCCTCATGCGTTTGTAACAAGGTCAGGAAGAGGCCATGGAGATTGTGCTGAGTGCCTTTATCTGCACTTGGGGAATACAGTCAGGCCATGGGGGGATTTGCAAATATGCTGAGTGTTGTTGGAACTCTGCTCCTATTTTGGTAAATAGTGAAACTCCTACTAAATATGCTAGGATCAGAGGTAGGACATGGCTGAACTCTAGAAAATCCAGCTGCTGTGCACACTGACAATCTTGAGGAAGCATGTGTGACTCCTAACCAGCTCTGGGTGTGAAGGACAGAACTGCTGTGTTTGGTCATTAGTTCAGAGAAGTTGGGATCTTACATCTGCTAGGATGCTACTTAGCACATCCACATTGCTTTCCATATTTCAATTAATCCCACAAACATTTATGCATCCACCCTGTTCCTGAAGGCAATCCCACAGCTTTAACAATGGTACTGTGTGCTCCTTGAGAGCTCAGCTTTATCCCTCATCTTCATACTGTTCTAACATCCAATCAGTTATTCTCTTCCCAAAACCTTGGGCCTTGTCCCCATGGAGAAATAATTCAGAATGGCTGTTGCTGAATAGTTCTTCTGCACACTCAGTTCGTAAGTGAATGCTCCTGCTCTGCCCCTAAAGTGCCCTAATAGACTTACAAAGCAGAGGACCTTCCTGCATGGGGGCATGCAGAGTTGAATGAGAATGCCCATATGTGGTATCACTGCGGGTGGCTAGTGCACTTTAGGGTGATGCCCTCACTATTTCATAGTTTCATAGTTGGTAGGGTAGGAAGGGACCTGAGCAGATCATCAAGTCCAACCCCCTGCCATGGCAGGAAAGAGTACTGGGGTCAAACGACCCCAAGCAAGGTGTTCGTCTAGCCTTGTCTTAAAGACCCCCAGAGCAGGAGCCAGCACCACTTGTCTTGCAAGTTGGTTCCAGACCCTAGCCGCCCTGACAGTGAAGTAGCGCTGCCTTCATGAACTTCCCCATCACTTTGCTTGAAGTATATATATTCAGTTCTTTTGGTCTTTCCTCATGTTACACCTGTTGTCATTTTCTTAATATAAGGAAAAAAAAACCCTGTTGGTAATAGCCTGGCTGCTGCATAGCCTCCCAAAGGATATCATGGCAGCTTCATCCTTTGGAACATTTTGACTGACAAAGCATTAGAGCTAGAACTGTTACAGGGCATAGTCCTGTCCTTACGGGTAACATGGACTAATGCCTCAACAGTCCTGTTTTCATCTCTAAGGATCTCTATTAATGCTCCCATCTATGCACTCCCATGCTTCTATTTAAAGCCTGCAACATATCATTATTCAAAATTACCGCTCCTAATTGACTGCACTTGTCATCCTTTCTATGCATTGTGTGGCCACTGGGCACAGTCTCTTTCTCACATCCACTCTGCTCAGTGATGTACAAGGAACTCAAGAGGGACTAGCAAAGGTCAGAGAATTGCAAAGAGGAATAAAAACATCTTAGGTCATGTCCAGACAAGTGCAGATATGCGGTATGTGGCGCCGCAGACCTGTGTGTGGTGCCACACACTGCACATGCAGGCATTTCCCGTGCAGCTACTTTGCAGCACAGGGGGTTTCCTTGGCCCCAGGAGATCTCAGGGTCAAAAATATCCACACTAAAAAAAGAGTCATGTGCACTGCCCAAAACTGGAGCCAGGCTAGCCGGAGTTGCACTCCAGCTGCCGTCCAGGCTCCCTGCTGCAGGAGCACTGCGGCTGCAGCTCCCCAAGGCTCCCATAACCTCAGATAAGGCTGCTGGGGCCAGCACAGTGCCCTCAGAGGCCTCATTTTACAGGAAAAAATAGAGGTTTGGAGCTAAAATGTAGAAAATGTCAAACAAAGCACGTGTCCTTTTTGTTAAAAAAGCAGCCTTTGTGAGAGCTGATTCTAGTTGAGGGCCCTGAAAGCTGTATCAGTTGCTCCGTTACAAGCTTGTTCATGAAAAACATCTCCAGGAGTGATCCGTGCATCCCACTTTCCTATCCAGCTAAGAGTACCGAGGTTTTGTACTCTAGAAGCACCAATAAAACATAATTAGCTTTCTTCAGCTCCAAAAGTGCCATTCTTGAAATGACAATATGGTTGATTTATTGGGGTCTTAGTCTTCTCTGGGACCAAACAAACGGGGCTGAGAATCAATGCAAGTCATTAGTTATGGCAGTGTTACGAATGGGCAGGCCCCAGATAATCAACATGAAAGCATGAAGGGCAAAATTTACAACTTTGCCTGCCCCCCAGGCCTCTGATAAAGCTCTTTCCATCAGGACTGAGGCACACACAGTACATTTTTGGAATCTTTCTAAAAGCACAGCAAGCCAGCCTTAGCAACTGCCTTCTTCAACACCTTCTGACTGTCACCAGCACACACAGAAAGGCCTACAAGTGCAGTAAATCAAGGAGGAGTCCAAATTACCATTTTAAAGTCTCAGCAGGAAGTATAACAACAATAGTCTCCACACCATTATATTAACCTGCCCTTTGAAAATGAGATGAGAATAATGAGTCCACAGTAAAAAGATTATTCCCTTTTCAGAATGTATCCGTTTCTCTGGTAGGGAAGGAACGTAACAAATCAGCTGACAATAAATGATCATTTAGCCATCTAACTATTGATACTACTTCCTCATAAAAAAAAATACTACTGGGTTTATGATGCAAGTAGGACTGTGCATAATTTTGATGGTTATGTATCTACATGATATAGAATCCACTGAAGAAATAATAAGGCTCTCTGGGATAAATCTGGAATATTTACAAAGGTTAGACATTAGCTACTATGTCTTCACTACCACGTCCCTCAGAAACCAGGCATGGGTGTGGAATAAACTTGGTAATTAAAGAACTTGAGAATTTTTCAAATGGGTGTGAATTATGCCACACTTCTGCTTGCTGAAGCAGAAAATAAATATTTTATGGATAAGAAAACCACGCTGCAATGAACATAGGAGAAATATAAATGCAAATGATTTTACATTATCCCCCAGCTTTCATTTTTAAGGATCCCACAGCTATGTGTGATCCTGACTGATGGTAAAAGCTATACAACAGACATGCAAGCATATAAAAAGAAGGTAAGTATGTATACAGTAGGAAGAATTAGTGGCTGCTCAATAGTTTACACAGAGTAACTTGCTGCTGTTAGCGAAATACTTCCTCCTCACACTTTGCATGTGAAATCTGTGGCCAGTAGAAGTGTCCCCCCTCTACCTCCATCATTCCCAACTTCCCCACTCCTCGGTCTGAGGTATATTTGGACCTGGCCTTTTCTGGAGGTATTTAGCACTCAGGAGACATTGGTATGAAAATTCCTTCTTTCTTTTTCTGGCCTGCCCTTAGGACAAGTGAATTTAATCTTGGGTGTTACATATGATGTTTATTCCAAATATCCGGGTGAGATCTTGTGTCCAGGACCAATTACAAGCTCAGGAAGTTATTCCCTAGCAAAGCAGGGACATCCATTTGTTCTTTCCAGCCATTCAAAAGACCCTACTGGCTGAAGGAAGTCTACTTTCTCATTTTAAAAAGAAGTCATTAGGCACTCTCAAATTCAGGGTCACAGAGTACCAGGGAAGGTGAGAGACAGAAAGGCTGGCATCTCATAGTGAGAAGGAGCCTGGGCTCCTTCAGGCTCTAGAAGCCATCCCTAGGCTGCCTTTGAGGGACTCTCTCAGAGAGCAGACAAGCCCAGAGTTGTCCCGACAAAGCAACCACTTGGCAGGGCACCCTTTGACACCCTGTTACCAACAAACACATCACAGTTCTTTGTGAAATTCGTGTGTGTGTGTTAGTAGATGTTTTTTCCCCTTCCTACTCTTCCAGGTCTACTTGGGCAGAGCTGCTGATGATGGGGAGTGAGAGGTATGTGTATGTGGGAGGTTATTAGTTCACTATTGACTCAAAAGAAAAGCACCACCTATTTAATCACCACTTCCAACCCCACCTCCAGGACAGATGAAGAAACAGCAGCCACTACTTCAATATGTCCCTCAAGGGTGTTTGGCTTGTTTTACTGCATGGTCATTCATCTGCAATTCAAAAAAAATCACTTTTAAAAATCAGGTTCTAAATCATCCAGTTTCTTTCTCTCTCTCTCTCTCAACAGCTGTGGGGGTCTCCAAAGCCTGTGCAATACTTACCCTGCATGCATGAATATGTAGGTTAGGTACCTCCAGGCCTGAGCACGGAGTTGAGGATGATAAACCAGTGAGTTCTTTAGGTATAAAGGATGGGTGACTTGCAGCACAAATCTGTCCAGCACCACTCCGTTGTAAAGAAAAAAGGCAACCTAGAAGATCAGGGAGATTCCTCAGTTAAACACTGTATCCACTCAAGTAAACTACTAATGTCTATGATCACAAGGTTTCTGCTCTGGGGAACTTGCATTCTAATGACTTCAGTGTTTTCAACCACTCTCTACCATGTACCAGGCACTATTAATGCCCCCTGAAGTCAGTGGAGTCAGTGGAGCTGAGGGTGCTCCGTACATTTCCAGTTTGGTCCCTTTTCAACTCTTGTGAGAGCCGTTCATATTATTTCATAGAACCTTTGAGCATTGTATATATGCTGAGTTGAGGTCTCCTTTGTAGATGAGTGATAAAACCAACCAGCTAATCAGTTTAGCTTTTCCAAATAATGAGTCCACTTTCTGTCATCCCAAGAATGGGGGCTGCATTAAGAATTTTTTAAAGTATTTTTATACTAAGTAAATTTTCAAAACTCCATCTCTCTGATTTTCAGTATAACGCTCACTATAATTTCTATAAGACCTAATTGGATCTGTACTCCTGAACAAGCTCCACTTTATTTTTTTCAAGCTATACATGTTTTCACAGACTAACCAAGTCTAATTAAGATACAATATTTTAAAACTTCAGAAAACAAATGAAACCCACAGATTTATATACAACCTTCATTAAAAAAGATCCCAAAGTTGATCGCCACTGAAATGTAGCTATCACATGGGGGAAAAGAAGGAAACCAACCCATGCATGGTGAGGGACAGGGACACTTTTTATTGAAGAGTAGTAAGACAGACACTGAAGCCTCAGGAACAGTGCTAGGGAAGTTTTTAGCATCCATGTAAAACTTAAGATTTTTATGTCCTTATGCAAAAGATCACTATGTGTGTAATAAATGATATAGAAACTAATTTTTATCCAACTAGGAAGCTAAAGCAGAAGGGATATGAACCCAAAGCTCTCAAGATTCTAGGTCTTCCAACCAGCTGACTGAATCATTGTACAATCCTCTGCCAAAACCCATAGACCACTAGCTTACGCACAGCTTTATAGCCTTGTTGAGGTTCTAAGCCAACAACTGTAGTAGGAAACAGTGAGGAAATGCCCCAAGCTTCCACTTCTGGAGATGTGGGCTTAAAGCCTCTCTTTTACATGAGGACACAGGAGACAGAGAACACGCCTGTTTCTTCCCAGTCCCTTTCCCTGAACATCACCAAACTAGCACAGAGGTCTGGACTAGCAGTAACCTCTGGTCCAGAGAGGCAGGTGCCGTGTGTGTGAGTGTGTGCATGTGTGTGAGAGAGAGGGGGAAAGAGAGAGAGAGACAGAAACACTTGGTTTTCAGGAGCAGTGCAGTAGGTTTACTTGCCTCTACAATGGTGATGGCAATCATGAACCAGGGTGGAGGGCAGCAGGTATAGCTGTCATAGTACCACTTTCGGTCTATCTCACGGGGCAGGGTTTCATATGCAACATGTCGAATCAGGCGCTGGGACAGGCTTAGTCCTGTCTCGTCCAGCAGCGCCTTGCTGCACAGCCTCCTGTTCCCCTGCAGAATAGCTTGGCGGAAGCTATTCGACCTTTTGTTACTCATCTGAAAGAAAGAAAAGGAAAAGCAATGAGGCCAAACAAAGGCACAGGAAAAGTCTCTTCAGGAGGGGGTGGGGGCACTGCTGGACAGTTGCTACCAGGCTGCAGCCATCTGAACCCAAGGCCCAGCATGACCAGAAGAGCAAATACTATTAGGCTGGAGTCACCTTAGGCAAGGTTCAGGATGACAGGCATGGGAAGACTGAATTTCAGGATCTGAGACTATTGGAAGTGGGCAAGAATATGAACATGGGGTTCTTCCCAATCCCATCATCTGAGCAGTTCCCTTTTCCAACTCATCCAGTTCTCCACTTCCTCCCCTTCAGAACCAGCTGCCCACCAATATGCACCCCCTCACATCCTCCTTCAGGAATCTGAACAAGCCACCTGGTCCATAAAGCAGTCCATAAGGCATCCTATAACGTACCTGCTCAGGCTGTTTGAGCTCTGCAGGGCAGGGGTTCTCTCTGCTGCAAATGATGTCCATTTACAGACTGATATGCACTGATATTCCCATTCCCAGGAACTTGTGCTACTTTACCACAGAGGGGGAATTAAAAAAAATTGTCTCAGGCTGAATTGGCCAAATCAGTTCCAAACTCTATCAACTGAGCAGAACTCAGTCATTCAAGTCCAGTTGGTGCTGCCACCAGCAAGCATCCTCCATCCCAGACTCTTCAGTCTGGGGCTTCAGATACTCCCAAATACATGACAGGCAACCTATGTGAAGGCTCCAAGCCCAGAGGTCTTAGAGTTCAGATGCCCCTGAGTCTCACTTGCCCTTAGCGCAAAGACCAAAGAAGCAAATTAGGGAGGAATCCTCCATTTCCATAAAATAGGCGTGTAGCTGAGATCCTCCCATTGGGAGATTATAGTAGTGTCTTGTAAGGTGTTCTGCCCACCTGTCCAAGGGGTGGACAGCTCTCCACCCTCTACTACACAATGCCATTCAAGGTCTTCTACACCCAGGAAACAGACCAGTGCAGCAAACTACACTTGATCTTAGCCCACAAGAGGCCAGGGGAGGGAAATGATACACTTCTGTCATGAGCAAAAATGACCATGCTAACAACACTGGAGGATTCAGATTTAACTAGTAGTCAGCCCCTCCTAGCTATGGTGAGCATGCAACAGATGAGTAATTTTGTTGTGGAAAGGGTTAGAGTTATAAACAGAGGGGCAGATTTCCAGGCAGTTGAGACTCACCACAGTGTGCCTTATTTGTATATGCAATGTGTACAGAATTAGCTAATTAACTTTTTGAGCATGCAATTTCCCAATTGCAACTGCACTCACAAGTTAGGCATATGCAATATTATGCCTAGCCTGTCAGAAAAAAAAAGTCAGACCCTAACTAACTTCCAATGAAGCTGAGATAACCCCTAACTAGCCCTGCTGCCAACCCAGCCTATTGCTGAACCATATACAAGAGCTGTGAGTGATGCTGAGTTAGTGCCATTTCTCTGAGTGAATCTTTGGTTCTGTGGGATTGGAACATAAAAACATTTGCTTGTGGAGGAGGGAGATGGGGGGGTAGTTTGCATTTGCTAAGCTTTTACAATGACATATGCAGGGAAGTAAGTTTGATGGACTCATTCCAGCTCTGAGCTAACTAGCATCACATCACACAGCCCATCAGCACCACTGGCCTTCATGTTGACAACCATAGCAGACAGGCAACAGACAGATTGTTCAGGAAAACCAGATTATACTTTCACCCTGAATAGTGGCCTCCACTCCCAGTATGTCAGCAGGTTGATGTGTTACCAGGAACTGGCATTTCTGTGCCAGTTTTGTGGCAACAGGTCTCCAGAGCTGCCAAGCTGCCACCTTTCACCTATATTAAAAAAGCAGCTACAAAAGCTGAAACCAAAAAGAAAACCAGAACAAACAGCAGTGTAAAGCTGCAAACAGATGTCACATTTATCCCAGGGTAAACCATTTTATCCTGGGACAAAGTGCAAGTGAACAGACATGCATGCCCGCCCGCTGTCCCAGGATCAATGCTAATAAAGTTTCCTGGGTAAGAGATAGTAACAATTTATCCCAGGATAAATGATTCTACTATTGATTCAATAACTGTGTCATTGAATCAATAGTAGAAAAGCAGTACTACATTTAGCTGCTCTCTAAACCCTGATAAGAAGGGTGATGTGTGTACATGCCAATCCTGGGATATTTTTGTTCTGAAACAAACACAGGCACAATTTATCCAGGGACAAATGTAACATCTGTTCTCAGCTTAAAAGACATTGTGTAAAACCCACAGATAGCCCTGATGTGGTGGCTACACTTCTTAGGCTAGCATGCTGTCTTAAGGGATACATCTGAATCTTGTTGTGCCTTTTACCACTGGGATTCTCCTATGATAAGTTGTGGATGATAAACTAGGTGTGACCCCTAAGCAATTACAGCCTCTTGTTGCCCCTCAGGCTTGAAAGTAACATTCTTGCATAAGCACAGTGCAACTAGACGGACCCTTTGTCCTGTGTTCACAGGTGGAGAGAAGCACAAAATCAAGCTGCACAGTCTCCTTGAACAGACTGCCTTCTCTCAGCCGCACAGTCCAAAAGATATCTGCTGAAGTAGGAAGGAAAAGAGAGAAAGCACAATAGCGTTGGCATTTCTAGTTCTTTGGATCACTTTGTTTTTGGCTAATATCCTCCGAACAGCAATGCCTGAACCGTGGGCTTTCAGACATGCGTAGGCTGTTGGGTAATTACTCCAAGCTGAACTGAGCTGCTTAGAATGCACTAATCACTGCAGCAAGCATCTTGAAGTTAATCACTGTAATGGAGAGTACAGAGTCACATAAGGTGATCATCTGCTGGCCTGGCATGGTCTTTTGAGCTCTGTGCACACTCCCCGAAATCCAACATCACAGCAGCTGCTCTGTCCTTACAGACTCAGATGGAGGGGCCCATCAGCACAGGCTAAAAATAAGAAACTCAGATGCATGAGAAAATATTCAAAGGGAAATTCAGGTTTTGTGTCTTTTGAAATGTTTAGTAGAATTTTTTTCTGAATAAAAATGTTGAAAGGAAAGTCTCAACTGGAACATTTCCATTTCAGTTTTCAAAAACCAGGAACCCCACCCCACCTCCCACACACACACACACACACACACACACAC